TATATATATATATTAATTTGAAGTTCAAAATCTGCGGATGTTATACCATAATTCTAATGAAAGAGGATAAACTCTGCTCGGAATAAAGAAATGCAAAAGAAACAAGTTCGAATTAATTCCTCTGGTGTAAAAGCAACAAGTTGAAAATGCGACATTTTAGATTCTTTTATTTGATTATATTGTAAATAAATATATAAGCAAATACAATGTATGAACAAATAAAACGGTTAAAACTTAATTTTGTCCACCAGTTTTACTCAAGTATGCTGTGCTCACAGTAAAGATCTGTCTTTGTCATGTTCCTTCATGTTCTTTATAAATATGTTTTTGGAAAATGTCTCTATTGGTCTTTCTGCTGCTTTTGAAATGCTGTGTAAAAGCATATTAACAATTAATGCCTTTGTATTTTGATATTTTATCCCTAAACTACACGTATACTATCAATATAAGTTTTCTGGCACCAAAACCTTTTTCACATAATCTTTTTCCACCCTCTTTCTGAACTATAGAATTAATTTATAAAGCTGTTTTTGATACTGTAAATGTAACTTGGAGCAAATAGCAGTGCTTATGGTTGTTTTGGAGTACTACACGTCAAGAAACTCAATATAATGACAATAAATGCTGCCAAGGTAGGTGGCTATATACTGGCCAAAAATGCTGTACAGGTAGGCAGCTATTCTACAATGCAGATAAATGCAGTCTCAGCATGTTGCTATAATAGACAAAAAAATGTTGCCTAGGTAGACAGCCATGTACAGGTGCATCTCAATAAATTAGAATGTCGTGGAAAAGTTCATTTATTTCAGTAATTCAACTCAAATTGTGAAACTCGTGTATTAAATAAATTCAATGCACACAGACTGAAGTAGTTTAAGTCTTTGGTTCTTTTTGTCTTCTGGACAACTGTCAGATCAGCAGTCTTCCCCATGATCATGTAGGCTCATAGAAACCATTGCAGGTGTTTTGAGTTGATTAGCTGATTGGCATGTCACCATATTCTAATTTGTTGAGATAGTGAATTGGTGGGTTTTTGTTAAATGTGAGCCAAAATCATCACAATTAAAAGAACCAAAGACTTAAACTACTTCAGTCTGTGTGCATTGAATTTATTTAATACACGAGTTTCACAATTTGAGTTGAATTACTGAAATAAATGAACTTTTCCACGACATTCTAATTTATTGAGACACACCTGTAGTTTTTAGACAGAAACCGTTTGAATAGTGTCCCTCTAGCGGTCACTCACGTTCATGTTCCCTTTAACGTGGCTGCGCTTCACAGTTTGACTCGCACTTTAATGCAAGCAGATGTCTGAGGAATTACACACAAACAGTCGCCTTGAATAGGGAAATACCTCTCTCACTGTCGTCCCCTCGACATTACAGTTGATGGATTTAGCAGGTAATACACATTTTCCTCACGATACTTTCATTTTAAAGACAGTAAATCGCTGCTTTTGAAGATTTATCTCGCTAGCATGTCAGAGAATTGGTTAGCATTGCATAAAAGCTAGCGTTAGGCTAACATAACTAACACTAAATCATTGACAATAACATGTCTGTTTTAGTTTGTGACGTATGTTTAGTTAAAAACAAATGTTAGAGGATAACTATCTTTGGGTGAAGTTGGCAGCAAATCGAGTTAGCCAGGAGTCCTGTTCATTTTAACGTTAGCCTGGAGTCATCATCTAATCAATAAATCAAACACACTATGAAGACTTGTTTAAGGAAATATATGTGTTTATTTATTTATCCTGTGCTCAAACAGATTTGTTAGATTTTTTTATTTGATTAGAATAACTACAGCTACAGGTAAATACAGTAGCATAAACACTTACGCAATCATTAGCTTTATAATCATATGCAGATTAAATTCACATTGAAACTGAATATAAAAAACCGAATTCACATAAGAAACAGACATGGCAGCTTAATAAACCTGTAAGAAAAGTAAGGGGTCTCGTTGCAGACAGCCTGTCTGACTCGCCATGGACCATCCAAGAAACCTAAAATAATTTCACTATCCCATCCTTTTTGTTTCCCTGACAGGCTCTTTGATGTCCAATCTCACCCTCCTTAATCTGGTTTAGAAATTGAGATCCATTTAAGGTAATCTTTTAGTCATTTTAGTTGCATGATCTGCTGGTTTCTTTCTAGACTGCACAGACGCAGTGGACATAATACATAATTCATAGTGGCGACATATAACTTTACAAGGTACTTTTGGAAAAACGGATGTGCTATTTATAATAAACCCTTTATAAACTGGCACGTTCACACACTTTTGCGCACTCAGATTAAATGTAGAAGTTATGAAACAGGACATGTAGCAAAATCCTTATCATTAAATGCAGATATGTAGAGTCATATTAATTGCACGAGTTCCTTTATTACATCATCTTTGGTGTATACTTTGTGACTAACTTATGTAAAGCAGGGGTTTTCAATATTTTAGATGGTACGGAGACGGACCCCGAATATGATCGTCCGTGTTAAGGGACCCCCATTCCTAAAAATGAAAAGACAGCTATATATTTTCATGTATAAAAAAAACCCTATCTGTTATGTGGAAAATAAATATTATAAGTAGTGCAAAATATTATTTGAAAATTATTTAGGATCTTTTTTCTTTTTTCTCTACTCACCGTAGTACTATATAGGGTTGTTATAGTTAACTAAAACATTTAAAAATGATCATTACTTGAAAGGAAATAAACTTTAACTGAAATAAATTAAATATAGAAAAACCTTAAATGTATTTATTTCAGCTAGTTGCCACAGCAACATTTTTCTTTTTCATTTAGTTTAGTTTAACTTGATGTACTAAAATAGCGAAAACTATAACTGAAATAAAAATTAAAAAAACTATACTAAAACTTAAACTAAAGTGAAAAAGAAAACCGAAAATATTCTTTATTTGGCATATTTTTTCATCTGCTTATTTATGTCTTATTTTCATAATTTTTTTATTAACACTGTTTTTCTGTAAACTTTTCCACGGACCCCTTGTGAAAACCTCAGTTGAAAACTTGTGGTTTATTTCAGGGAGGATGGAGGTGTCCGGAATTTGAGGGGCGCTGCAGTTAAGGTCTCGGGTGAAAAGCTGGAGAGGGAGAAGAGACGGAAAGATGGAGCAGGCTCATAGTTTACTGCTGAACGAGGAAGCCTGCAGTCAGCTGCGGGAGCACCAGAGAGCCGAGTTTGTCTTTGAGTGGCTGAGTTTCCTCAAGAAACTACTCCCTGCCACAGACCGGGTGAGTTGAGGGCGCTGACAATAAGGTCTCTGTTTGAGAAGAAACACTTCTGTCTGTCTCTCTCTCTCTCGAACACAAACACAAGCAAGCCTCTCTGAACAGACTCCCTGGTTATTTGTCTGCCTTTCCACCGGCTGTCTCTCAGCCAGGAATGGACTAGTGATATGTCAGTCTGTTTCTTACTGGTGAAGTGCCAAAAAACCGAAATTAAAGAGCGCCGCTCATCTAAACTGTATGTCGGCATGTGTTTGTGTGACAGGCCGATGTGAAAAAGAACCAGAAGCGCCTGGTGGAGCAGCTCACGACGGTACTGACGGGTTCTCCGGGCCCCCCGACACGACTGCTGCTGGCACAGTGTCTGGCGCTGGTGTACCGAGTGGGCGACTCCCTCACGTCCAGCCTCACTGTGGACCGTTGCAATGACATCATCCGCAGCAAGGACGACTCGCCCAGCTTCCTGCCTACTCGACTGTGAGTGTCATAAATCTGCAGATGGGCTTCAGCTTGATCTTCTGCCAGTGAGTTTACTTATTGCTACCTACAGGGCAGCTGTGGCCTGTTTGGGTGTGCTGTATGAGCAACTGGGCCGACTACTCATCAACTCGTTTAAAGAGAGCGTGGCAAACCTTCTGAAAGCCACGAAGAGCTCAGAGGTACGTGTGGCTGCACACCAGTATGTGATTCACAGTTCAACCAAACACAGAGATGCGACTGTACTTCACTGTGAAAACTTTTTTTTACCAATAGTTTGGAGGGCAAACAGGTGATTCAGGTGTTTTGAATCATCACATGCAGCATTTTTTTTATTTTGACCATCACAAAATGCTTAGGACTTGTCAATTAGCAGATGAAATTCACTAAATTTTCACTCGGATATACGTCACAATTGAGAATGATTGTTCTTTATGTTTTTGATAGAAGTGTGTTATGCTCACCAAGACTGTAAAAACAGTAATATTGTGAAATATTATTACAATTTAAAATGACTGTTTTCTATTTGAATATATTTGAAAATGTAATTTATTTCAGTTATGGCAAATTTGACTCGTTTTTGATCCTTCAGAAGTCATTTTAAAATACTGATTTGAAGAAACCCTAATTATTATTATCTTACTATCCTTGTTGAAAACAGTTGCATTGCTTAATATTTTTGTGGAAAACACAATATTTGTTTCAAGATTCTTTGTTGAAAGAATGGCATTTATTTCAAATAGATTTTTTTGTAACAATGTAAGTCTATACTGTCACTTTTTAAATTTCTTTAGAAAAAACAAAAATACACTAACCCCAGTAGTGTATGTTTAATAGTGGCAATTATTTGTATATCTTATAGACAAAACTCTTACCTTAAGTTTTAAACATCAGTGTGCACTTTTTTTTATTTTTATTATAGACATGCTATTACTATACTAAGAAATTCCACTATAAAACAGGCAAAATAGACTTACGTTGAAAGAGGGACCCGAGTCATATATGGGAACCAGAATATCACAGAGAACCTGCCTGGGATGGGAACTTTGGAAAAATGGGATAGAGATATTTTTATATTCCAGAAGACAGTAGCTTTTATAAATGTGTATGTGTGTGTGTCAAGTCAAGTCAAGTCAAGTCACCTTTATTTATATAGCGCTTTTAACAATATGTGTATTGAGAAGATTCTGAAGGGTTTAGGTGTGAGTGCCGTGTCCTGTCACAGAGACATCTATAAAGCTGCTCGCACATGTCTCACTGATCGCTCCATGGCTGTGCGCTGCGCTGCCGCAAAGGTACTGGACACTCAACCCCATGCTTCAGTTACTAATCATATGGAAAAGTTAATAATCATATGTATGTTAGCCAAACATGCATTACTTGTTGACAGAAATAGCTTTACATTCACAGCTGACTGAGGGAAAATACACATTTTGTTCTTTATTGTTAACAGATGCTTAAATCAACCACAATTCAGTTTATGATATTCTTATTAACCCAAAATATCTGTAAAATATTTTAAAATATGGATCCTAAGTTATTGTACTATTTCCAGCTAAAGGAGGAAGCAGGGTAAACACTTATTCTTCTTCCATCTAATAAAAAATATGAAAATATTAATAGAATTTATTATTCTAAAAAAAGCTAGTTTGAAAATAATGTTTTGGTTTTAAAGTTTGTCCTAGTCTGTTCAGAATAACTATCAATGTTTGAAGTAAATTATATAGTTATTTATGTATGTATGTATTTATTAATTTTTTTGTATTGTGTTCTGGGGTGTGGTGTGTCTTTGTTGTGATGAAAAGAATATTTAAAATATTACTGTATGTTACTAAATATTACTATAATCATTTACTATAATAATTTTTTTTCTCTTTTTATCTTAACCTTTGTTATATTTGATTGTATATTGTATATTCTTTTCCAATCTGTGGGTAAATATTGCATATAAATGTTGTGTGCTTTATGGTTAGAGAAAAAAAAGGTTAATAACAAAACTTGAAATCAATACCAGTAGACTTTATTGCCTATTAATAAAGTTAATTTCTATTATAATGACTATAATAGTTAAAATTAAGTTTTTCTATCAGATTTTGTCCCAGTTTTCCCCAAATTACTATGAAGTGGTGAAGTTAACTTTATTTTTTTGATAGTGTCTTCTGGAGCTCCAGAGAGAGGCTGTCTTCCTGTGGTCCACAGAGCTGGAGAACGTGGCCACTCTTTGTTTCCGAGCCTTCGAGGGCTCAAACTATGATGTCCGAGTCGGCATCTCAAAACTGCTTGGCACTTTATTAGCGTCTGCACTGGAGCCCAGACAGGCCATAGGTGGGTGGATTTTATTCAGCAATCTCAGAAACATCTTCAGAGGACACCAAGCTGATCATTTACCCATGGAGATTGTAAAAATCATTCCCTCCTCTCCTCGGTCACCCACATACTGCTTTTCTTTTCCTCAAATGTAATGCTGATCTTTCCCCTCCCACTCGATTCCATCTGTTCTATCATTTATCCCCTCACACTCTCTCTCACGCTTCTCTTCTTTTCATTCTTCCTCCCCTGTTCCTGTGGGTTTGCTCTCAGCTCCGAGGCCAGGCTCCAAGCGCAACTCCCTGAAGGAGGTGATGGAGCTGCTGAGTTCTGGTTTCCTGCGGGGTGGAGCCGGCTTCCTGCGGGCCAGTGGAGACATGTTGAAAGGGATCAGCTCAGTCAGCAGAGATGTGCGCGTGGGCATCACACAGGTCGCTCACCCTCCTACAGTCCTTCCCTTGTGATCCGAATGTTTGTGTTTTGAGTCACAGCGTGACTGACTTTGTCTAGGTTAAAATAAAAGAATAAATGAAGGTTGTATAACATCGGAAAAAATACATTTTCTCTCTTTATTTATGTGTCTTATTTATCCGTTATGCAGAAAAAAAGTTGTTCTACATAGAAGTTTTAAATAAATTAATTATTTAATTTTATGTACGTTTATTTTAGATTATTTTATCCATTTCAGTTAATTTAACATGAATACCACCTGTTTACTCTCTTGAACAGACATGTGTGGTGTTTGTGTCCATTCTGGGCGGCGCGTGGCTGGAAACGCACTTCTCCTGTCTTCTTTCTCTTCTCATGGAGTGGGTATCTCACGCACGGGCGACGCAATACCCGGCAGATGCCGTCTCTTGCCGCTGCTGTGCCTCCTTCATACTGCGGGCCACTCTTGGCACTTTGCTGGGGGAGAAGGCCCAAATCGCAGCTGCCAAGGAGATCTGCCAGTTGATCAGCAAACAGAAGAGGGTTGTGGGTAAGAAACTAGGCCAAGGGCGAATATTTAGGTCTCATTGGGTATTGAGTTGTAGTTTCTTAAATGTATGCTGTGTTTCTGTCAGACGCAGCTCTTCATGAGGGGAACATGGAGGCACGTGTGAGCCCTGCGGATGTCGCAGCTAGTCAGCATGTGCTGGTATGTGCTCTTCTGGAGCTGGGCAGTCTGCTACAGGACCTGAGCTCCACTGCCGCCCCACTACTGCTTGACACCAGCATAGGTTTGTCATGCATTCTTAACCAACAAACTCTGCACCCCATTAAACTTTTTTTAAAGGATTTTTAGATACTCCTCTTTTTACATGCATTAGTGGAGTGTGGTGATGAAAAGTGCCCCAAATATTTAAAATGTGACGACAAAAACACCCCCTCTGAATTCTTTGTTTGTTTATGTTTTTTATTTTTTTACAATTGATGTACACTACTTGTTTCTGTTTATTTTATTTCATTTCTTATTTATGTATTTTTTACAATTGATGTACACTACTGTTAAAAAGTTTTGGGGTAGTAATTTTTTATTTTTTTGGAAAGAAAATACTTTTATTCAACAAGGACGCATTAAATTGATCAAGAGGGATCGAAAAGAGATTTATAATGTTACTGAATATTTATATTTTTAAAAAAAGCTGTTCTTTGAACTTTGTTCCTCAGAATATAAAATAAATTAATTAATTAATAAATAAAATATTAGGCAGCACAACTGTTTTCAACTTTGATAATAATGAGAAATATTTCTTAAGTACCAAATCAACATATTATAATGTTTTCTGATGGATCATGTGACACTGAAGACTGGAGTAATGGCTGTTAAAATTTCAGCTTTGCCATCACATTAATAAATTACAATATATTAAAATAGAAAAATGGTATTTTAAATTTAAATAAAATGTCACATTATCACTGTTTTTACTGTGTTTTTGATTAAATAAATGCAGTCTTGGTGAACATAAGAGACATCTTTCAAAAATGTTTAAGAAAATCTTACTGACTCCAGACTTTTGAACAGTAGTGTATTTTATTATATTGCTATTCTATATTCTGTTCAAGCCAATGAATTTTAAGTATTGGATGGACGGGATGTTGAGTATTAAATGGTTGGGGGGTTTTTTTGAGACCTTTATGAGGCCATATTCTGCTATATACCCAGTAACAAAGTTACAGTAATTTTAAAAATAGCTATAATATCTTTGTCAATAAAACTGGTGTAGACAACATCCTGCTCCTATCATTGCACATTTGTGATGGTCTTGTACTGGAGTTTGAACCAGGATCAAAGAAAGATGCTTTTCAAGTGTCTATAGCTATTTCTCTGGATTTTGTGTGAGTGTGTCTGCTCTTTAATGGATGTGCCACAATAAGGCCTGGATGAAGGAGTGAGCAGAAAAAGTGCCTACAGCTGCAGATTTAACACATCCATCCTGCAATTTCAGAAAGAGCTCAGATTGTCATCTCTGATGCCTTGAACTTTACTAAAACTGCAAGTTCAATAGTTTCTCTGTTTTGTTTTTCTGACAGGAATGTTGGACACTGTGATCTCTGTTCTTCTTCACCCCAGTGCATCTGCTCGTCTGGCGGCCGCCTGGTGCCTGCGGTGTGTTGCTGTAGGGATGCCTGCTCAGGTGGCAGTGTTGCTAGACCGCTGTGCAGAGAGGCTAAATGCCCTGAAATCATGCCCAGAGGCTGTGGCAGGGTACAGTGCTGCCATTGCAGCTCTGCTGGGAGCCGTACAGCTCTGTCCGCTAGGAATATCACACTCGAAGGGCAAGGTATGAATGAGATTTGTGTCTATACGTTTCCTATCCTCCTTTTAAAGCACACAGTAAGTTTGTGGTTCTGTTTAAAGAGGTTCGTTCATGCTGGCAGCATTTCAGATCACTGTAGTCAGTGAGTCTCTGCTGTTGCTTGCTAGTAGGTGTTTTTACACAATTGCAGTTTTCAATCAGGCACCAGATCACTGTCTAGACTCCCTTTGGTAGTTTCCACACTGCATCACTGCTCATTTTAATGAAGTTGAGCTCATGAAGTTGGTGTCTGAACATTAAGAAATTGAAAATGAATGACCTAATTTTGAAATGGATGACAAATCAGCTGTCATTGTTAATGTACTATGTGGGATTGCATCCCACAAAAAGTTAAACCTTAACGTGATAATTTTCCCAAATTGCCAAAACCTCCTTGCTGCTCCAAACCTGTGTGGCTTACTTTCTTCTGCAGAACATACAAGATATTTTGAAGTAGTGTTGTCATGATGCTGGAATTTGGAACTTTGATACAGTTGATAATTTACAATTTGACAAAAAACAATATTCCGTATCATTTTCAATACCTCAGAGAAGATTTCCACAACATTAAGAGCATAAGACTATATACTATTTTAATTAAAATACACTGTGTGCAGTAGGGCTGTCAAAATGGCTGAAAAACTAAATTCGAATTTTGTACTTAAATATTATCAAAATTCGAATTATATTGAGGCCACAAGAGGGCGCATCATTCAAAGCATAAGATAACATGACTATCTGCGAAAAAAAGTGCATAATGTTGAAAATAGTGTTTATAAACCAATTATAATGAAGTTGCTTAAACAACTATAAACAAAACGGCATCATGTTTGTATGCATAGTTTAATACAAAGGGCGGAAAGCCAGTCACACGGAGTACATTTTTCATTTAAAAACATGAGATGCAGTGGGATGGGGAAAAACCCGCCATAAAGTCTCGATAATGTTTTTTTTTTTTCAAAGTTAAGCTTGCATTAATTTTACATGGCTTTCTAAACATGTGGCTCTTTTGTGCGAGCCGCGAGTGCAACAGTAATAGATGTCCTTCTAGAAAATGCGTGAAATATGCGTTCTGTGTGAACTGCTTGGTTTCGGTTTTGATGTAAACAAGATCTTCTCCGCACCCTAGTGTGCAGCGGTGTGTGCACATTTGGTATCAATGGATAGATACTGCAGAAAATGAGTATTAAAACAGTTTCAAATATTTCAGCACTGAAAAAACAATATTTTGACAACACTAGTTTAAAGAATGTTTGTCACTAAGCAGTTTTGGTGACCACTGACAAAAATCAACAAATATAATTTCTTAAAATACTGTATATATATTTCTTTTATTTTCTACAAAAGAAATAAATATTTGGTGTTGTGTCACTCATTCCTATGGACGGGTTGCAGGTGGTGATGACCTTGGCAGAAGATCTGCTGCGCTCTGCAGCTCAGAACAGCAGAATCTCCATCCAGCGCACTCAAGGAGGTTGGCTGCTGCTCAGTGCCCTCTTCACATTGGGTATGAATCAGTTTACTGGTTTGTGATCTTTAATATGCCCACATAGATGTACACATACAGACCCAGACAAGATGTGCCTATATTGTAATAGTCAATGTGCTGGAATAATTTTTTATCATCCTTTTGGTTTCTTTGGTTCTGGTTATTCAAGGTCCCACTGTAATGGAGCAGCACTTGCCTCGATTGCTGTTGCTATGGAAATGTGCCTTCCCACTGTCTGTGAAGGACGTGGAGAATGAGCTGCGGCGTGGAGACTCCTTCACCTGGCAGGTGACCCTGGAGGGGCGAGCAGGAGCATTGTGCGGTGAGGGTCTTTTATGAATCTCATGGGCTTCTCACTTATATCACTAGTCTATCTGACATGATAAACTTTGCTTTAGGTTCTATGCTGTTGACTGCAGATAGGAATAAACAGAATGTTTGGTCCTCATAGCTTGTGTCATATTCCTTACAGCAATGAAGAGTCTGGTGGTGCACTGCAAAGACCTGCTCACCGATGATGTCATCAGTCGTTTGCGTCCTCTCTTGTCCTGTGCAGTGGCCCTGCTCAATCAGTGAGTGGATCTCGATTGCTTCAAATGAAGTTATTTCAAGCATTGCAGAATGCAGATGTAATGTCAACAGGATGTTGATAGGCAAATATGTATCACATTTTGCTGCCCTTCAACTCTTTTTAGGCTGCCCTCTATCATTAAATCCTATGGAAACCAGATCAAAAATGCAGCCACTGTCTTTAGATTGAGAGTGTATGAGATCCTCACAATGCTTCAACCTAAAACATATGAAGGTAAGCAACTTGATTGGACTAGATCATGTGCTAATGATTTATTTGTGTTAATAGAAAGGTTATCATTTTCCCTTACTTATTGAGTGGTCATGACCATGCTATTCAAGTGAAATGTACTAAAAAGAGTACATTTTTATCATGCTTTGAAATTTAAGAGAGCTGTTTAGGATACTTATTTTAATATCCCACAAAAACATATGGAAATAGGAATGTTTGATTGCCCAAATATGTATTTATTTCTTTATTGTGGTTTGGTTGTGTTGGCTCAGAGAGCTTTGGCACAGTGTTGAAGCAGCTGCTGAACGATCTGACCGGGCCAGAAATCACAGCATGTGCTGAGCTGAACCTGCTGCCCTCCCTGTGCTACAGCCAAGACCTGGCACTGCTGGGCCCTGGACTGCAGGATGTGGATCAGCACTACATAGAGGAACAGGTCAGATCACAGTCTAATCATCAAGGAAATAGCCGTGTTAATGTGCAATCAGTGCCACTGATTGATTCCCTAGTTACTGCACATTTCATATTTAACCTCATTGTGTTTTCCGTCTGTTTAAAGCTCCATGGTGGTGGTTCAGGAGGTGGGACGTTAGAATATGACCCGTTTACCATCTTTGAGAAAGCCCAGGAAGTTCCTACCCCTCTCCCTCCAGCCTCTGCTTTAACGGCAGCAGCTGTCCAGCTGTTTGGAGTGATTTTTCCCCACCTGGGCATTCAGCAGAAGTATGTCCACTGTCACCACATAGACTCCCTCCAGAAGGCTGCTTTTGTATACCGTTGCTGTCTGGTTGGAGTACTTTTAGTTCAGTTCATTTAAAAGGACCTCCATGTCGCCAAACACTTCAGGTCATTCAGTTACTTTATATCGGACCTTTATGCAAGCAATACCCTTCATAATGCTTCAAATGAATAGCTAATGCTGATGAATAGTTAAACAGAAAATTCTCAGATTAAGTTGGCTATGTTCTAGATTGCTTCCCTCAACTCTATAGTGCCTTTCATTTTCATAATGACGCATCCCACTTTGTAAATTATTTATATAGTTTGTTTGTTTTATGCTACATTCGCTAAAATGCGGATGTACTAATGTCAACCAACATTACCGTTTAAAGTTATTCAGATTGTTAGGAGGAACTGATACTGTTACTGAATGCTTGCGGGAACTGGCCTTAAAGGGGTCATATGATGCGATTTCATTTTTTCCTTTCTCTTTGGAGTGTTACAAGCTCTTGGTGCATAAAGAAGATCTGTAAAGTTGTAAAGACTAAAGTCTCAAATCCAAAGAGATATTCTTTATAAAAGTTAAGAGTTAACCACGCCTACCTAAAACACCTCGTTCTAACACGCCCCCACATATCTACGTCACAATGTGGGAAGATTTGCATAACACCGCCCAAATGTTCACGCAAAAAAAGAAGGCGTAACTTTTATTCTCGCTGTAGTATTAAACCATATAAAACGCCGCCATGTCATGGAGACACTGTGTGGTTTGCTGCGAAAGAAAAAGTACTTTGTTTGGCCTTCCAAAAGAGGACACGACTAGTCGTTGTGAAAGCGAAACTACTTTGTTTGGTCTTCCAAAAGAGGACGATATCCGCTTCGTCATGCCTAGAGCTGATCTGTGCTGGTCGCTGAGGAAATACATCAACTTTCACCGTGGACGAAGCGGAGTCCAGCCCGCCTCAGCTCACTCTATCCCGGCCTCAGCGCAGGCTAAGCCGGGGCTTCCCCTCACGCTAGGCCGCTGTGTTTTTCGTTGCCCCTGATGATTCAAATGCGAGTTTTGGGCAGTGTAGAGTAGCGCTTGTTGTTTGTCATTTCTCTGATCACAAATGCAGACATGGTTTTGTTTACGTGGCGCGATGCAACGCAATGCGTAAAAAGACAGTATAAGTCATTATAATCTGTAATTATGTCCCCACTGGATGCAACGAATGCCTCGTTTATAATGGGTTTTCATGTTTTTTGTCTTGTCGCTCCGGGAGACGGCATCAACAGTATGGTGAGGGGTGTAACATTTCCGTCTCACGCTTGAGGTATTCGGCCAATCACAACGCACTGGATAGTTGGCCAATCACAGCACACCTCGCTTTTTTAGACCGATGAGCTTTGTAAAAATCGACGCGTTTCAAAAAGGCGGGGCATAGAGGAGAAACAATAATGTACAGTATGTGGAAAATAATGTTTTTTTTTTTACTTTAAACCGCATAAACACATTTCATTACACCAAATACACAAAATAATGTTCTTTTTAGCAGCATCATATGACCCCTTTAATGAGATCCAGAGGCTTTTTGAAGCACTTTCTTATGCAGCATAGCCAAATTTACATCCAGACATCTGCATACATTTGCATAATTGGGGGCTGTTCTGGCCATGTCCCATGCATTATTAAACATAGCAGTGGAGAGAAAATGATACTGATCATTTGGGGCCATCGGTCCTCCTGCAGTGCATCTTTCATCCCGCTAGCAGCTTGTCTAGATTCTTTTTTTGATGTTTGTTTGTTTTTTTGTTTGTTTGGAGTTTTTATTTTATTTTTTATTATTTAATTATCTATTTATTTATTTTTTACAGTTTTAAATAAGCCTTTGTTTACCAACTCTCGGCATTTAGACTGTAAAATCAAAACCCAACTAATAATATTTTGAAATACAATGTATAGATGAATGACTGAAATATTATGTCAATTTATGCTTTTATCATGGGATTTTCAATGGGAATTTTTTTTCATATTTTATAAAAACTGTGGCAATGCCTTTTTCAGATAATCCAGTGAATTGAATACTTAACAAGACATGCCAAAAAAAAACAAAAAACATTACGACGTGGTTTTAAAATATGAACCAGTTTTTATTTCCACTTGATTATTTTCTTTTAATTTAGGTCTTTGTGGATGATTATGAATAATAATTAATATGCCTCACATCAGTGCAAAACATTTACCATGGAAAGCCAAAAATCAGTAATTTTAAGTAACTGTACAGTATGGATATTTATTTTAAGATGATTTAATAGTGTTATTAAATTATTAGTGTTTTTAGAGTTTAATTTGACATTTGGCATCATCTAATGCTTACATAATCTAAATGTAGTAATTGTGCAAATGAGCATTAACAATTCAGTATTCAGTTTGGCCCTTATGTATCCAATTTCAACAGAAAGTTTGTAATATCGGCTAATAATCTGGTTCATACATATAATGCACGCCTAAGGAAAATCAGATATTACAGTAGCTGAACAGTACATCTGTTGTATTTCCTGTCTCAGGGCTCAGATCCTAGAGCAGTTCTGTGAGTTTGTGCGCCATCTTAAAGGAGCCCGGCAGCAGACTGTTCAAATCCATGTAGCTGCTGCTTTCTGCTGCACTTTGAAGGTAAGAAACCATTTCAAAATTGAAAACCTTTGCATTCAAACCATATAATGTTTCTCTTTTCCCCCTTCTGTCCTGTTTTGCTTTGTAGTGTTTGGCATCAAGTCGGAGGGAATTGGGGTCAGAGGAGGTTCAGAGACCAGCACTGTCTCTCCTATTGGGGGCGCTAGAGGGCTCAAACCCTCTCTTGCGCTGCATGGCTTCAGAGGGTTTATCCAGGCTTGTGCAAGTTCTTAATGACCCCAATTTCACCGTTTCCATCACTCTCATGAGCTTTGACAAGTGAGTGTATGCCAAGTGCAGTGTAAAAATAAGAATGTTTTTGAAATTAAATGATCTGAAATGAATGTAAATGTGTTTCAGACTGAAGACGGCGAGGGATGCCATCACACGCACAGGTCATGCTTTGGCACTCAGCGCTGTCTACCGTTATCTGAGTGGGATTAGCTCCCCTCAGTACCTTAGTGCCTGTGTTGGAGTCCTCTTCACCCTGTCCCAGGACAGCACCTCACCTGAAGTACAGGTACACAGACCACATGACTGTTTTAAATAAATCAGGATACCATTTGTGTGCTTTTCTATATAGAGTGTTGTCAGAAAGTTCATGCACTAACTTTTCAGTGAACTATATGCATGTATGCAGATGTGGGCTCTCCACGCTCTGTCCATGGTTGTGGATCTAGCAGGCCCTCTGTATCACAGTCACCTAGAGGCTAGTTTCACTCTGGTACTACGTTTGCTCCTCTCGACGCCACACACACACGTGGAGGTGCAGCAAAGCCTGGGCCGCTGCCTTAATGCCCTTATCACTTCCATGGGGCCGGATCTGCAAGGTGCACACACTTATTTACCCATAAACACATTGTCATCATGCAGGTGAGACCTTTACATACTCTCTTCTCTCTGGTTGTTTAATGTAAACTGTCTCCAGGTGAGGGTGCAGGTGTGTGTGCGGTGAGGACCTCGTGTTTGGTGGGCTGTGCTGTGATGCAGGACATTCAGGACTGTCTGGTCCAGGCCCAGGCGATCTCCTGCCTCCAGCAGCTGCACATGTTTGCGCCATGTTTTGTCAATCTGGCCAGCCTGGTGCCCAGCCTCTGTGTATGTCATCAATGCACTTAACAGTCAAAATCATATTGAACAACAGACATTCCACTGCATTCACAACACATTTAACTGAACCGATTTCTGATAAATTATAAGTTATACAAGTTATATTATTGGTTAATTATTATTTTTTTCACCCCCAAGCAGTTTGAGTTGTCAGAAAAAAAGTAAAGTAGGTTCTGAGGTGGATAAATAGAAATTTTCATTACGAGTAAGAAAGATTTTTTCTTTTTGAGACTATCAGTGAATTATGCACACAACCAAAGAAATATACTTATATTTTTTATATATTTTTTTCATGTTGTCTTTAAATGTTACAGTGTTTATATTAGGGCTGGGCGATATAGCTAAAAAATGTATCAACGATATAATGTTTCATATCGTTCGGTATCGATAATTATTGAAATTTTTTATAACCTTTTTTAAAACAAAAACAATAGACATTTTTTTTTTTTTATTTAACCACTGTATTTATAATTAACACAATTTATTGAGACAAACAACAAATATTTTTTGTTTTAACAATCAAACACAATAAAAATTAAATATCAAATTTCTAATGTTTTATATGCAGATTAAATAGGTCTTTAATGTATAGGTCTAATTGTCTCCCGAGGCCACAGGAGGGCGCAATGAGCAAAATAATGCAGCGCATTTAAATTGTCAACGCAAGGAAGTAACTCTATAAAAACGTGCATTACGTCTAAATTAACTCTAATAAATCAAAGTGACGTGTTTTCTAAAAGTTTAAACTATATATATATAAGAAAAATGAATGTCATTGAAAGAGGTGAGTGTTCACGGGCCTGGCTTTGCCCTCATTTGTAGTGACAGTGCTGTTTTCTGCTTTCTCGTACAGGAAATCTTATTGGATTATTCTGTGTTGGTAGGTTTTGTCTGCCTCTTTGCTGTCAGGCCACTTTATTCCCTTTCCTTTGTTTGCACTTCATATTCCCTTCTTTTTTTTTTCCTTGCGTCTCTCTCTATAATTACACTCTGTTGTCCTCCTCTCATTTTTCCCAGTGTGAAACTAACTCAAGAAGGATCTGGTTTTGAGCATGAGCAGACAGTGTCACTGCCTCTAACTGCAGGGTTAATGCCAAGGATTAGGTTTGCTTGGCTTGTTCTTTTCTGTAAAGGCTTCTAACACTGACCACCCACACAGTGCACATGACGTTCACATCCACATCTGTGGCCTCATGCCAATTCAAGCTATTAGCTTTATTACTGTGAGAGCTTCAGTCCATTGCTCTCTCTCTCTCTTCTTCATACAACCACACACACGCATTTAGACATTATTAGACAGTAATTGAGAAAAACATGCTTTGTTCTACATGCTCTATTTTTAGATGGTTTGATTTATGGTCCTATTCTTTGCAAACAGCTCACTTGTCACATCATTTAAAGCTCAAAACAAGCCTTGACAGTAGCCCTGCTGCCCCTTTCTCCTCTCCCTCTGTCCTTCTCTACACTGAAAGAGCGTTTGTGTGGGATCATTTTGACATAACAGACTAATTTTTATGTGACCTCAGCTGTCTGCTGAAGTGTTTATTGCACTGTTGTCTGGATTATGTTGTGCAAAATGTGATGAAGTAATCATTACATTTGCAGTGTGCTCTATTTCTGAACTTTACTTGCTCTCAGTCTGAACTAATATGTTTTATATATTATATCAGGGGTGTGCTATATGATCAAATAATTTAAACCATTACAAGGATTTTTTTTAATTTATTTTTTTATTTAATTTAAATTTTTTTATTTTATTTTACACCCAGCTCTAATGTCTCAGTTCTGTTCTTCTGTTTCACTAGACCTCAGATGATTCACTACTCGTAATTTATTTGACCATACTAAGTTCTAACGTTACATTTAATATCATGTATAACATTTGTGCATGTACAGATAAACCTGTGCAGCTCATACCTGTCTCTGAGGCGTGCAGTTGTGGCCTGCTTGAGACAACTGGCTCAGAGAGAAGCAGTGGAGGTATCGGAGCATGCAGTCGCTTTGGTTAAAGAGCTACCACGCAGAGACAACACACAATTGGGTGAGTCAGCATCGCCCCCACTGCACAACATAGCATCATCTCAGCACGTCTCTGCTGTACTCTGCATTTTGAGCTGGGTTTGACTGCAGTGAGCCATAGATTAGTTTGGGGCCTGGAATTTTGTCTTGAACCAAATCAGCATAAGAGAATGATTTCTGAAGGATCATGTGACACTAAAGACTGGATTAATGGGTGCTGAAATTTTTTTTTCACAGGATAACATTGCATTTTTTTATCTATTCAAATAGAGAACAGTTATTTAAAATTATAGTAATATTTCACAGTATAATTAGTTTTACTTTTTGATCAAATAAATGCAGCTTTGGTGAGACTTCTTTCAAAAATCGTAAAAAAAATCTTGTCAAACTATATACACATATAATATCTGTGTAAGTGGCATTTGTTTTAAAGACAGCACAAGCACACTTCTCAAGCAAAACATCATTTGTTATAATATATATCACATTGTGGGCTGTATGTTAAATGGTTATTGTCTGTCCTGCAGATGTCACTATTAAGGAGGTGGGATTGGAGGGAGCTTTGTTCAGTCTGCTGGACAGGGAGTCTGACCCACGCCTGTGCCGAGACATTCAGGAGACGCTTGTCCACATGATGAGCTCTGCGGCTGAGAGTAACTTGGCCCACTGGCTCAAACTCTGCAAAGATGTGCTCTCTGCCTCTGCAGGTGGGCTTCAGTCTCAGCTCCTTGAGCAGAATATGATGAGAATAAAATAATCTTAATTTTTCATCTCTGGCAAAATGTGCTCTCCTTTTTACAATTTTTTTTTTTTGTAAAATACAACCCACCTGACCAGTGTAAAGGCCTTAAGATTGGCTTAAAATGTTGTGATCTGTTTACAATTTCATGACAAATTCTTTGTTTTTAATCAGTGTTTTTGTTAGTTTGACTTGTAAATAGTTGCGTTCGCTTTTTATGTTCTTATTGTTTAGACTCAGCTGCAGCTGCTGCTGTAGAAACGCAGCAGGAGGAGGATGGAGATCGATATGATGACTCCTCTGCATTCCACGCAAAGTCTGAATCCAGCGGCCCCTTCAATAACCTGCGCTGGTCCACTCGTGTGTTTTCCATGGAGTGTGTGTGTCGCATAATAGCACAGTGTGAGAACGGAGACCTGGCTCACTTCAACATGGCACTCGCTCAAGAACAACGTTTACATGAATCTGCAGGTTAGACACATCACTTCTGTTGTGTTAGAATTTTTATTTCCTTTTATTATCATTCTTCTCCAAATTGCTTTAGTGTATTTTCTGAAACTCTGAATACTGTGATGTCTTTCTTGATGTGTTCAGTAAAGCACTGGATCTTAGCGCCACCTTCTGGGGTGATTTTATATATATTTGTTAACACTGTTAATAAAGGCACCCCTTCTGTCTCTCAGATTACGTGGTTCTCCACTTGGCGGACCTCATCCGCATGGCTTTCATGGCAGCCACAGACCACAGCGATCAGCTCCGACTGGCTGGTTTACAAACACTGCTGGTCATTATCCGGAAATTCTCCAATGTGCCAGAGCCTGAGTTCCCTGGACATGTAATTCTGGAACAGTATCAAGCCAATGTGAGCACTAACTTAGTACTTTTCAGCCTCAGTCTTAAAATCAACATTGCACACTTTCATATGCCCAGAAAAGTGCTGAAAGAAAGAAATTGCTCATCTAGAACAAACATGAACATTGATTGGCAGCTTAATTAAATAGGATATTTCCTAAATGCCTCTGAGTGAATGACCTTTATCGCAAATGTAATAAGTGTGGAAGTATGGTTCCCTTTTTAAATTATTTATTTATTTACTTTGTGCTGAAATTTCCATAAAATACCACTTCTGGTTTTCAATTAGAGGAGAAAATTGATGAAAAATATTAAATAACAGAAACCCCAAATGCAACACATCTTATAACAGAAAATTTGACAGAGAGAAAAGCATTGTGCTGGTCTATGTATCTGTCATTTTATTCAAATTATTTTAAAAAGTGAAAAATTATTAAAATTTTTTTTTTTATTATTTTAAACCACATGCTATTTTAAAATTATATGTAACATCAATTATGGAGGTTAATTTAATTGTAGAATTTTTCTCAATTTAAATGTAATTTAAAGGCACAATATGTAATTTCTGCCGCTAGAGGGCGCGTATTCAAAATAAACAAAGAAACAAAGGCTTAGTTTTATGAGGCAGTGACTGAGTGTGGAATCATGGGAGTTGTGGTCTTCATCCCCACAGCCGATGATGGGACTCGGGCAGAAATCATGTTCATGGATGAGCTAATGATTTGTTAATGTAGTAGAATGAAGCAGGGTGAGGCTGAAAGCTGTCGAAGCGAAACGAGGCCGCTGAACGAGCGTGACACACGTTTTGAAAGCAGCGGAACTTTTATTATGCCACAGTCGACCGCTTCCGCTCCTTCCGGTCGTGAGTATGTGGGGTAAAGCAGCGCTGTTTTATCATACTAGAGACATTTGAAAGTTCTGTTATAATGCTACTCTGTGCGGTCGTCACCGGTCTATTAAAACGCACAACATATTAAAGTGTCTTTGGTGTTTCCATGTTTTCTACAAAACAAAACCGGAAATCAAGGGTTTATGACGTCATTGGCAGGCGACACAATGACACTATGGACACGGTCCGTGTCATTAATTAAAATTGCTTATTTCTCTGGATTTAAACATTCTTCGAAACATTTGGGATAATGTAAGTACACAAGTCAGCAAAATATATAAAACTGTTCTAGTGGTTTTTGGATATTTTAATAAAAAAAAGTCTTACATATTGTGCCTTTAAGATGAACATTTAATTAAATTATCATTATTATTAAATTAAATTATTATTCATTATTATTCATTATAGGCATAAATGTAGGTTTTCAGTTTCAGGTTTGCGGACTAAAGTTATGAGAAGTTTAGGTTTCTGCCAAAAATGTATTTGGTGGCATCACTTTTGAAGACTGCCTGCTAGACTAGAGGATGCTTGGATATTTGAACTGTATGTTCAGAGCTGTACAGCAAAGCTCTCAGCTCTTATTCTTAGAACCCCCCCCTGAAGTACCTGAGCTTGTTCATCAGTCTCTTGTTACTAAGTGTGTGTGCACGCATGTGAGAACCTGTATCACTTACACTAAATTAGGTTATCTGTGGGCTTAGCGGGGGCCTTCTTTTCAAATAGTGACTTGAAACATCTTCAGTTTCATGAATGTTTTACTCTCTTAATTTACGCTTAATAAACTTACTCAGTTGAGTTTGGTTGTAGGCCATCAATCCTGTATAGTATATAAAAAGACTAGACAGTAAAAAGTACAGTGATGTTTAAGGTCGGTAAGATGTTTTTGAAAGATTCTTTTTGCTCACCAAGGCTGCATTTATTAGATAAAAAATGCAGTAAAAACAGAAAGAACTGTTTTTTTTTGTTTTTTTAATGTAATGTATACCTGTGATTGCTAATCTGAATTTTCAGCAGTCATTGCTTCAGTCTTCAGTGTCACATGATCTTTCAGAAATCATTCTAATTTGCTGATTTGGTACTCAAGAAACATTTATTCTTAGTATTAATGTTGATAATGTGATATACAAAATGACAGGCGCTTTTTGTGGAAACCGTGATTTCAAAAAGAACAGCATATACTTGAAATTGATCTGAAAAGTCTTTACTGTCACTTTTGAAGTAATGTGTCTTTGCTGAATAAAAGTGATAAATTCTTTTTTTTTTAAATGACCCAAAACCTTTGAAAGATAGTGTATGTGCGAACAGAGTGTGAATCATATTTTTAAAATAAATTTGCCTTGATGTTTCATTTAATGAATGTATACATTTAAGTAAAAGTTCTGAACACTTTATTTTTATTTTCCACAATTCAAATTAATACCAAAACTATGAAACAGCACAAATGAAGGTATGGGAATTATGCAGCATCAAAGCTATATTTTATGTTGGCATTCTCCCAGCCACCATTATGAGATGCATCCTTGGAACAGTATTGAAGGAGATACACTATGGGTGCTGGTTGACTCTTATTCACTCTCTTGTCTAACTATTTGTCTATTTGTCCTTACAACTTCTGTAAGGCTATGAGAAACCTCCCAAACTTTTGACTGGGCTGGTTTAAATGAACTAAATGTTGTTTGATGTTGTAGGTTGGAGCTGCGCTCAGACCTGCCTTCCATGTGGACGCCCCTCCGAATGTGACTGCCAAAGCCTGCCAGGTGTGCTGTTTAAAGAACTTAAGCCTCATTATCTATAACGATGCACTTTTTCTGTTCTTTGCGTTTACCAGCAAACACCATGTTATCTAACACGTTGTTTCAAGTCTTAAGTTACGTATTTTTTCACTGTCAGATTGGGCATCCCAAATATGTTCTTTTTGTAGCATTAGTTCTCAAATCAATCCTGTTTTTAACCTCTTGAACTCGCTTCATGCTTGTTTTCAAATACCTCATGTTCACGTGGGTTCACTTGACCTAGTTTCTTCCCAGAGTCTAGTGGTTCACTTGTACTGCTGAAAGCTGCTCCAGTAGTGTTGAGAGACATGAACCTTTGTTTTGGTGTTCAGGTTTGCAGTGCATGGATCGCCAGTGGGGTCATCAGTGACCTGAGAAGGGTGCATCAGCTTCTGGCTTCCTCGCTTGCCAAAGTGCAGGTGGGAAGAGACGTCACCAGTCAGCTCTATAATGAAAGCACCTTCACCATGGAGACGCTGGCTGTGCTCAAAGCCTGGGCGGAGGTACCGAACACCATCACACAACTATTAAATCAGCTGTACCTCTACGTCTAGCCATTATATAACTCTAGGGATGGGCAGTATGACGGTATATAAAGTATGATGGCCACACTTTTTATACCATGGAATATCTGTGGTAGATCTTGCAGCAAACTTTGATCTAACATTTGTCTGAGTAAATCTATGTGTCTCTGCAGGTGTATATCACAGCGGTACAAGGCTCCAGGCAGAGGGAGAGTCCAGGCAGCCATCTCCAGCAGCAGAGTGATGAGGCTGGCACTGCAGATCCAGCAGGGGCTGGTTTGCTCAAACTGGTTCAGACTGATCTTGCAACTCTGAGTCGCCTGTGGCTGGCTGCCCTTCAGGACCATGCCCTGCTCACCCTGCCCTCGCAATACTCCAGTCAACTCCCCTCCACAGGTCACTACTCGCGCTCGGTTTCTCAGATTACACACCTAGCTGATGGAAAATAAGTAGATATGCTTCTTTACTTCCAGGGTTATGAAAATTAACTGTCTAGTTTATGTGCCTCTAGTGCAACCAAAGAAATATATAAAAAAATTACTATTTGCAAACAGTTTTTCCAAACACTCACTCTGTCCCAAACTCATACCATTGTTCCTGTGTCAGCCTTAGTGTTCTTATTTTTGAGGAAATCAGTTGCAAGATAGTTTGCTTATAATTGCAGAAGGGGATAGATAAAGGTGTTTTTACAGTACGTTGGCAGCGGCTATTTGCACTAAGTGTAAATATCGATAGAGGCTATTTACACTGTGAAAATAGCATATTTTCTTAGCGATAGAGGCTATTTACACTAAGTGCAAATAGCAATGGATTCTATTTACACTAAGTGAAAATAGCAGTATTTTTAACAATATGCTATTCACACTAAGTGCAGATAGCGATAGATTCTATTTACACTGTTAAAATAGCAGGATTTTCTGCTATTTATACTACTTACTGCAAATAGTGGCAATTATCTGCGCCTCAGTATTATAGTACATTATAAAACAGTATGCAGTAATAACGTATTGTGTAAATTATAATTTTAATTCAAATTATTAAATGGATGCCACCTTATTGGGACAATAAAGCCCTCCCTACACCTACCCTAACCCTACCCGATACTTTATTTTCAACTTTTTGATTATTTCCTTAATTTTTATTGAAAATAAAGGCCTTTCTGATGTGATATGAGATTTGAAAAGGGAGAAAAAAAAAGTATGGCAAAAGGCGGATTCGAACCCGGGTCGATCGCGTCAAAAAGACTACGATACACACTTTACCATCTACTCCACTGAAGCTGACGATTGTCTGCCGTTTTAAATATTGTTGACCATCCCTATCACACGTTTGTGGGTGGAGCTAGTGTAAATAGCCTCTGCCAACAAGGCGGGCTATTTGCACTTAGTGTAAATAGACACTCCGTTTTTGAAATAGTCTCTTATGCTCACCAGGGCTACATTTATTTTATCAAAAATAATGTAAAAACTGTAGTATTGTGAAATATTATTAAAATTGTAAATAACTGTTTTCGGTTTAATATTTAAAAAAAAAAAAAATTTTGTCCTGTTATAGCAAAGTTGAAGCAGCCATTACTCCAGTCTTCAGTGTGGCATGATCCTTAAAATCATTCTAATATGCTGAGTTTGTGCTCAAGAAACTTTTCTTCTTAATAATAATGTTGAAAATAGTAAATAGAAATAGTGATAGAAAATAGTGATACTTTTTTAAAATTCAGGCTTCTTTGATGAATAGAAAGTTCAAATGAACAGCATTTATTTGAAATAGAATTCTTTTGTAATATTACAAATGTCACTTTGGATCAAAGGTATGAAATATATATTACTAAGCCCAAACTTTTGAACAGTAGTTACATTTTTCAGTTGATAATTCAGTGTATTCAAAATAATATGCAGATTATTTTACTACCATTTAAACAATAGTAATAGTGGAGTAAGAGCCCAATGTTATGTGTCTTGTTTAGAGCTACTGTATGTTCTAACATGCACCTTTATTTGTCAGGTGGCTCGTTTTACACTGCAGAGATGGTGGAACAGGCCCGTCCACATTATTACAGTGCCTGGGCTACCATTCTCCACGCTACTGCTCTCTGGCTCAACAGCACCGGATTCATCATAGTGGACGAGGGACCTGCCAACCTCTCCAGACCGGTCACACCCACCTCCATGGGCCAGTCCACCTCACTGAGCAGTGTCAAATCCCCAGAGGATGTCAACACTGACCGCCTCCACCTGATCCTGGGTACAGAGCTCAGTTAATATTTCCTGTTTCAATAAGTGGATGTAGTTCAAGGTTTATAGGGTGTCCATTGCTAGATTGAAGTCCTTCAGAGAACTGAATTTTGCTCTAGTCATTTTCCATGGACTGATTATGAGGATCATACAGTAAATACTTGAGATATCTTAGGATTTTACTTAGATTTGAGATTAACATGTATATTTTGAGTCTTGTTGTTCAGTTCACTCAAATTTTCCCTTTAGGAATCAGTGTGGAATTTTTGTGCTCTCCTCACTCTGGAGACCAAATGGAAAACATCAGTTCTTGTCTTCAGGCTCTGCAGGCCTTATTGGAGGTGCCTTGGCCCCGTTCGAAAGTGGGCAATGATCAGGTATTCTACAATTAAAACAGATCAGAAGTGACAGTAAAGACATTTACAAGGTTAAAAAAGCCTTCTATTTCAAATACATGCTGTTCTTTTGAACTTAACCGATTGTTCAGCTGACTAAATGTTTTTTGTTTTTTTCAAAATAAAAAATCTCAGTAGTTTTGAAAGTTGTGAAAATTATTTGATCTAGGACCGTTATGTGGTGCGTGCCGTTGTAGTTTAAGTGTGTTCCTCACAGCCTTGTTTTCATCCTCACTAAATTCAATATGTCGTCTAACCTGACTATTATGGTCTATTATGATATTGTAACTTGGTCTATTATGATATTGTGATGCATTGAGATTTGTGGTTTGGTATTTGTCTTTCCATGTAGTTCATGTGTTCTACTATGTGTTTGTCTTTCTTGCTAGTCACTCTGTTCTTGAAAAGTGTATGGTGTTCTCTCTGTAGGCTTTGAGTGTGGAGCTGCTCAGTGTTCTACACAGGCTCATAGTCACTCGGGAATCTCCCAGCATTCAACTGGCTGTGCTAGAACTGGTGCGGCAGATTGTTTGTGCTGCTCAGGAGCATGTCAAAGAGAAACGCCACAGTGCTGAGGGTAAGTCTCAAAAACTCCTTTTGTTTAAATAGTGTAAAGCTTAAATAACCCTCAAAATTCATCTTTCTTTGTTGTATTTGGTCAGTCGATGATGGTGCAGCAGAGAAGGAAACTGTTCCTGAGTTTGGTGAGGGACGGGACACTGGTGGCCTGGTGCCGGGGAAGTCTCTTGTTTTTGGAGCGCTGGAGCTATGTCTCTGCACGCTTGTGAGAAAGCTTCCGCAGCTCAGCCCCAAACTGGCTGGCAGCCCCACGGGGCGGGGAGGACAGACCTGCTTCCTCAGCAACACTGACTGTAGACTCGTCACATCTGCTCTGGCCATCCTCTCAGAACTGCCCTCCATCTGTTCACCAGAGGGTAAGAGATCCAGAGAGTTACTGCGGGCAATAAGAGCTTTCAGATTATGAGAAAAACATCCTCCTGCCCACTTTATTTTAGTCCACTTTTCATTTTGTTTATTCAGTTTAGGATTTTTTTTTTCTTTCTCCATTAAAGGTCACTTCAAATATAGATTTTTTTTTTGCAATCTATCGAACATTTTGTAATACTTTAATATGAAATGTCTCTTTTAAAATTAAATTGAATCCATAAATGATCAGAGATCTGACAGTGTTTTATTCTTCTCGCCACAGGCAGTGTGTCAGTGCTGCCCACAGTGCTCTATCTGCTGCTCGGGGTGTTGAGAGAGGCGGTGAAGGGCTCTGTTGGAGCTGAGAGTGGACAGCTGGTACCAGGCATCCTGCAGGCCTTGCGCACTGTTCTCACCTCTCCCATGAGCAGAGCTGAGAAGAGTCGTGGGGCCTGGACTGAACTGCTGAGATGTGCACTGCACACGCTCTTGGAGTCTTGGCATTCAGGTAGTTCTCTCTCATTTCAACCACACTCTGTTTGTGTGTTTTTCTGCGTGTTGTAGAAGTCATTTGAGGAACCTTCTCTGGTTTTCATGGATTATTTTGGACAGATAAAATGGAGCCTGGAGTGGATGAGGTTACCACGTTGACATCCCTCACCATCTTCCTGCTGTACGCCAGTGCTGAGGTGACCACTGTGGAGCCCCTGCAGACACGCTGCATCCAGGCATTCAGAGACAGTCTGGAGTCTAAGGACCCTGTGGTGAGTAGAGAGTCAATTAGAAATTCTTAACAAAATTTCTACAGTACTGTTCAAAAGCTTAGGGTCAGCTTTTTTTTTTTTTTTTTTTTTTTTTAATGAAAAAAATTCTTTTTTTTCACCCTTATGAAAACCCTGAA